GCAACCCCCATCCCCCAATCCCTGTCCCCACTGTGCCACTGACAGAGAGGAGGTAGAGAAAATGGGGAGTGAAGTTGAGCCTGGTAAAACGGGAGGAGTGGGGAAAAGGGTTTTAAGATTTCTCCTTATTTCTTATTATCCTGCTCTGACTTGACTTGTAATAAATTAATTTCCCCAAGTTGAAGCTCTTTTGCCCATGATGATAACTGGTGGGTGATCTCTTCCTGTCCTTACCTCAACCCATGAGCCTTTCATTATACTTTGTCTCCCCAGTTGAAGAGGGGAGTGATAGAGTGACTTTGGTGGAACCCATATGTTCAGCCAAGACAAACTCACCATAATGGGGAATTACCCATGATGGATGCAGCAGATGTTAACAACCCTCCTTTCAGACAAATATACCTATCTTTCCTCAGGTCTCTGATGTATAAAACCTCCCCTTTGCTGAACTTTAATTCTGATATTTTGCAACAATATTTGATTATATTGCTGAAGGGTCTTGTATCTGTTCAGGATAATTTTATCCATAATAATACTTTTCATAGGTATCCATATTTTACCCTTCTTGAACTCCTACTTAATATGCATGATTCACAGCAAAAATTAAATAATCTTGCAGATTCTAAAAAATATAAACCAGATTGAATTACAGTTAATAAAAAGGGGAAATGGTTTCCTTTATATAAATCACATCTAAAAATATTTGCACTGTAATACTTTTCTACATTTTTGCAAACAAGCCCATGTCCAGCTGTATTTTTTCTGAAACGTTCAATTGTCCCCAGTGAAAAACTTCTCTATAACAGCAGCAACTATATGTGAAATTAATTTTTTTTGCCCCTTGAACTAAGAAGGTAGTGACCGGACAAAGAAAATAGAAGAGTGAATAACTGCTCATTTGTCAAAATAGTTTGATATTCCTAAGGCAAAAGAATAAAGAGCTAACCTGGCCACAGACATGAGTTGCTGAAAACCTTTTCACATATTGTGTAGTCATTAACTGGAATTTGGCAGCCAAATTCTCCAGCTATTCTATCTAAGTGTAGACACATATCTCTAGATTACAGACCAAAAGGCTGAAGGGGAATTTCTGTTAGTTGCTACGATGTTGGGTATCAGAACAGTGGTTATTTTCTTATCTTTTCAGTGTTCTCCTTGCCCATGTCTGTGCAGCACAAAAAAAGTGAATTAACTCAAAGAAAAGGGGCATGAACTAGACTGATAGCAAATAAGGAATCAGGTGGTAAGAAAAGAGATAAGAAACTATGAAGCTAGAAAAATCATGGGAGATGATGGAAATGAAAGTGGAAAAATAAGCTTTTGATCTGGCAAAGAACAAGGGAAAACAGGATTATTAACAGAGAAGCAAAGACTGTATTTAATTTCAATAAACTGAGTAAGTGCAGGAACATGCTCTAGGAATTCCCTGATCATCTGTGAGTTACCACTGAATTGTCCATGCTCTTGTCCTCTGTACAAGGATGGACACATTAATGATGAGCCTATGTATCCAAGCTATACCCACATTTGTTAAGAGAGATTGCTAGTTGCATTTGGCTAAAACTGCAAGGATCAATATAGATAATTGCATTCTAGTGCCTGCAAACATTCCCTTGCACTGATTAATTTTCTAGCATAATAGTAGCTAGGAAATTTAGGCAAGTGCTAAGACATCTGTTGCAGAGAAAAGGAAGGGAGAAAGAAATAATCTAACATGAATTTCAAGAGACAAGAACACAATGTAAGAATAAATAAAGGTAAATCAGAATAAGTCAGGACAAAGAACCTGATGGAAAAGAAATGCAACACAGAATAAACACAACCAGAATGGTCCATGGCATCCAATAAATGTACTCTTTCAGCATGTAAAATAGACTCACATTTCTGGAGTCTCAACACTCTTCTATTGTCGTCAAGTATTTGTGAAACTTGCAAGTTTAAATTTAAGAAGACAATTTTTAAGTCTTTTTTTGGTCTCCAAAATGGATTAGGGAAAAAAAAAGGATAATGGTGTATTACCACTGCAAGTGACAGAAATTAGAGACTTCTGTTATCACCTTGAGTTTCTAATTCTTCAAAAAGTGGCATTACAATAGTACATAATGTTGTCATTTCTAAGGTAGCTTGCACTTTATGTGACTGTTTAAATGAAAGAATATTCTGCCAATTCATATGAGGCAAATTAGAAAACATGGGAATTATACTAGCTGCAGAGTTCTCTTTTCATCCATTTGAGAAGGCTGGTTCTTATTTACCCAACACCAAATAAAAAATTCCAAGTTTTTCACCACATATAATAAACAGAATACATCACGGTGTAGACAAACTAAGGAGCATACAGCAGCTGAAAATCTTAATCTTTTGCAGAAAGTCACAAGGCAAAAAACCCACAGCCGTTCCTTCAGTAATTTGAAGCAATCCTTTAAATGTAATCTGAATTATGTGCACATGAGGCAGTCTTTTAAAGTATTTGAAAACCAAGAAAAATGTGTAATTTTGACTGTCCTATTGTACTTACCAAGTCTGACATATTTAACACTTTGGAGATATGAGACAACAATCTGAATTCAGCCCTAGAAATGGCAAATAAGCATTCTGAATGATTAAGTTTAAAAAGAAAAACATTTATACAAAAAATATAATCAATTGGAACACAGCAAACAGAAATATCAATATATGTCTCTATAGGAAGTATAATAAATGCAGTGCATTACCTGTATATGCAAACTGAACAAGATCCCACAGTGCATTGGGGTCTATGCCTTCCATTTTAATCTCTTCTTGCTTGGCTTCACAAACATCACTTGTAAACATGGCAGCAAAGTAGTCAGAGACAGAACTGAGAACAAGTCTGCAAAAAAGTTAGACATGGGTGTAATATATATTATGTATTAGAAATGTCATATATATATTTATAATCTTTAAAAAAAAATCTTCAGAATACTTATAAATTACCAGAAGCAATATATTGTTAGTTCACATAGGCAGCAAAATGCAGCATGACATTTAATTCTAATTTGGTTTTGCCTCCTGTGGCCATATGAACCAAGTGGCACATTAGCATATGACTATAAAACAGACATAGAAATTAGTGCTCAGTCTTTCTGATAATCTTCCAATTATGGAGATGCCCCAATTGTTAACAAGATAACCTCTCAGTATCAAAGACAACTTATTCATCAAAGGTATTTCGTACTCCAGAGGTACTCTTCATTGTTCTTAAAGGCTTATTTTTTATAAATTTAATAACAGCATATGACTTTAGACATACTATCAACCTGCAATAAAACTGTTAGCAGTTTAACATATTATTCACTAAAAACATAAAATAGAATCATTGAGTAATACAATGTTTATGGTAAAAAATATTTCCAAGGAAAATAATTTCAAAACACTCACAAAATGTGCCTGTGGTGTTTAGGGATCTGATTTAGATAAATCAAAACCACAGCAAGCATCAGGTATGATTGTAATTACTAGGGTTTTAGGCTAAGGTATTTTTCTAAATACCACCTACAGTCATATTTTGATCTTCTTAGGAGTAAATATTGACAAATGATCTTGAGCTAGAAATGTGGTACTGCTACAAATAGTGTATCATGTGCTTCCATAAAAGGTGGTCAAATTTCTGGATTACTTTGGAAATATAATATACAAACATATTGATAAAAGACACAAGAATCACAACTGGGAAACTTGGAAACCAAGAGAAAAATACTTAGCCTTTTGTATATTGGTATATTTTGTTCAAGGGAATTAATAATAGAAAAAAAAGAGAGAGAGTCAATAATAATGAGCAAATGCTTATCCACTGGCAAGGTAATTTATTGTCTTTCCTCTCTTAGCTCATCCCAATAGCAAAGTAAAATATGACAGTTTGAATTGGCTTCATAACTTTACAGTGCTTCAAGCTACTGTATTTCACCTGCAAGTGCAGCAGTTTAAAGACATATATATGATCTTTACTGGCTCTAATGATGGGAAATGACTAATTAGGTGCAATAGTTTTATCACTTTTTGTGTTGTGTTCAACTCTATCAATCATGAATTTTAGAAGAAAATGCCCTAGTTCAAAAACAGTTCACCTTCATATTTATATAACAAATAAGAACACCCAATAGATGACTACAAAAAGATGAAATTAGAAATATACTTTAGTGGTGCCACCAGAAACTCCTAATTCACTGTTTTTTCATCACTGAGGAACATTTACTTCTATGTTTGCTAATTTATTATCGCTATTGTATTTGTTATTTATGTCTCTTTTATCTTTATAACCCTTCTTCAAATACTTCTTCTTTATGTTCATAAATAAGTGATGTGATTTACTGCTAATAGATGCTTTATTAAAAAAATATTGATGATGCTCTATGAGATAAAATCTCTTATAGCTAGGAGACATGTAATTTAGGTATGCGACTGAAATTTCCATATGAGACTATTTTGCATTAGCTGTTGCTTCACATTTATTAACCACCATTAAAATTCAACTATATCTTCAACTTGGTCATTTGCTGAAAGCAAAACCAAAACTCTTTGCAGCATTAAAAACAATGGACAAATGAATGAACAGAAATTTTAATACACCACTCAGTGATCAGTGGGAATATTTTCAAACAGTAATATCTTATATTTCTAATTTACATCATCTATGTTCAGATTTTATTTATTATATAATCTCATTGCCTATGTATTGTTGAATATTAAAAAAAAAACCCTAAAAAACCAAAAAAAAACACAGAGTGAGGACAGAAAGCAAATTAACAGAAGGATTACATCTCTTTCATAAATTTCTACAAAAATCTGTGATTTTCCACAATTTGTACCATAGATTATTCTGGGGTGAGGAAATTAGAAGAATTTCATCTGGATCTCAGTTGCAGAGGAGCCTTCAGTCTACAGCCTACCAGACAAGATTCAGTCCAAAGTGAGAAAAACATGAAAAATAAATAATACAGATGTCAAGCCCTCAGCACTTCTCATTTTACTTAGAGGTTTACCCCTGCTGGTTTGCACCACTTATTAAAGAAGATGGCTTAAGTGAGTAGAAAAGTTCTGTGATATAGCAGCTCACTTAAACAAGCAAGACAAGCTTTTGAACAGAGTGATAAAGAAAGAGGATTGTTTTTTAAACTACCTGATGTTAATCAATAGCTAACAGAAATAATTAACAAGCTATTTCACCAACTGACTATAATCAGAAAGTTAACTGATTTCAAGACACTAACTTTTGCCTTGGGAAGTGCTCCAGAAGTTGAACTGAAGTGAAAGGAACTTGCTAATTACACTTAATTCTGAAAGGTGACACCTTTTGTAAATCTTGTGTTCCAAGAGATAGAAGATGAAAAGTGAGAAATCAAAGAGATCAATTAATTTGTAATGATCTGCTGCTTTTTGTAGATCAGAAGGCTCCAAACAGCTCCAAATCTTGGTTTAAAGGCATGTTGACCTATACATCAAGAAAGGTCAGGTGTCTCAGGATGTCACCTTTTTCAACTGCTGATCTGGCAGTGAAAATACATAAGAAACTCTTTCATCCTTGAGGCTCATAGCAGATGGCTTAAAATGAGTTTATGGACCCAGAAAGATTTTCTCTAGATGGAGGGCCTTCTCTACCCTTATGACTAAATTCAGCCTGATATATTTCTGGCTTGTTTTTTAGTACCCACTATAACTGATTCTGGTTGTGACTTTTTTATCCTATGATTTCAGATTTTATTTTAGTTTATTATATAATATTTCCTAGTAATTTTCACAACTGTTTCCACATACAGCTTTGACACAGAATTGCCACAACGTTGATAGTGCATTTATTAATGAAAAGAAGTAAACAAACCTTTATCACTTAAACTCTAACATATTTTTAGCACTTTCTGTTTTTATTGAATTTTCTGTTTTATTGAATCCAGTCTCTGTTCCATGCAGTATTTTGTTTTAATTGGATAGAGATAGGCAAATTCTATGCTTCCATCACATTTCTCCTCTTTTTTCCCTTCAGCCTTGAGTTCCTGTACTGTTTTGTGCAGCATTACTAATCAAAATGGCTTAAACTACAGTCTGAATTTAGAGATGCCTATAACATTTATGCAATCCTAGATGGAAGTTTTAATGAACTCTCCAGTGAAAATCTTCCAGGTTTGTCTATCATTTGTAGTGACTTTGGCTCTTTTCTTTGCAGCATATTTGATGTTTCTTCAGCAGCTGTAGAATATAGAATTCCAAGTACAGTATTTAAAACCGATATAATTCATGTGAGTTTCCTTCACTCAAAACAACTAAATCATCTATGGCAAATACATATTATTAATTTTATGTTGACCCATGGGATTATTGGTAGATTAATAATTTTCATTTACCTTGGAAATAAATGGTGCTCTGATCACACCACTATAGTTCTGAACAATAATTACTTCCCAGTGTTTTCCTGTTTCAGATGACATTTACTACCTGCAGTCTAAATTTCTAGGGACAACTGCATTTGGCTGATTGCAAACTGGATAAAAGAAGGAAATGTCAATTACAGTGGGTTAGTTTTGCTCCTTTGTTTGTTTTCTAACAGTAATACCCAAGCTCCAGCTCCACAAGGATTCAGATGTACCGTAAGACTGAAATTACAAATGTGAAATTAAAAGGTGAGCATAAATATATGAACATCTGTATGAAAAATAGTGGGGGAACTGAACCAAACTAATTTTAAAAATTACATTTTCCTCTGTATCTTACTCTACAAACAATGCAGTTTACCCAAATATTCAAAATAGGCAGAAAGTGTACTGGTAAAATAAATATATATTTTATACCACCCATATTAAACATGGTAGATTATACCAATTGTGGGATATTTCTATATATCTAACAAGTGGGTTTTGTGTCAGTTTAAGAATTTAGATTCAGTTATAGATTTTTTGTTTTCATTGTTTCACCGCATATATGTTGAACATTATCAAAAGCAAAAATTGGCCAATTAGCTGCTAAAAAGGAACAATAAAATACTCATTATTTCTGAAAAAAAATAATTATTTGATTTCAGTAATAGAAAGGACCTTAAAACTGGACACAAATTAGAAAGCCTTAGGTTAATATCCCTCCAGGGGCTTCTTTTTGGACCGTAAGGCAAATCTTGCAACTCTGGAATAATATAAATGCAGACAGACAAAAGGACTGAATATTATTCCCTATGTACTTGATACATCCATGAAGGAAATATCTTGCTCATTTAGATAAAAATGAGATCAGACCACAACTAAAAGGGGTGCATAAAGTGCTAGATGTGCAATGCATTTACTAGTGGCAAAAAGCGTGCAACATGGGAGCTGCATCCATTGGCAAGCCAGTGGGTAGAAGAAATTACTGGGGACTTAGCTGGCATCTGGGAACCTGATTATATGAGGGTAAGGAAGGAATAGGAAAAATCGCAGCTCTTAGAAGGCAGAAGAGTAAAAACATAGTCTTAGGAATGAAAATTGCTGAAAGAAGAAGAGAAGGATTTCTACATTTATTACAGCTACCAGTCTGAACCCAAGCAGACTGTTTCCTATGTGCTGCAAACTACCTAGATCAATCTGTTACTGTTTGTTACAAAGAGTTTATTACAATTATTTGGGCTATTTAAATACTTCAGTGAAATTTTCTGTCTGGTTTTAATTTTTAGTATTTAGACAATAACTTTGGCTTTGCTGTCTTATATATTGCACCTTTTCAAAACTTATTACAGGAGTTGGAATATAGACTATTCAACTTTTCTGTTTAACAGGAGTAATCACTGTGTCCATATTCACTTAGGGAAAAGGAACTTTGTAAGGTCCAAGTTGCCAAGATGATCTTAAAGTATTCCTCTGCACTATAAAGTTAATTTATGAGTTCAGAAATGCATTGGCTGCTTTTCTGATTTTCTGCTGGGAAATCATAGTCCTGCTCTGAATTTAGTACCTCAGCGAAGAAATCAGGACGAGCAGGGAATAGGTTACCCTCAGTTTGCAGCCTTATGCAGAGTTCAGATGCAGAAATACTTGTTCACCTGGAAATTCAGAATTATTCTCTGCATTTTAATCTAAACTCTAGGGTTGGATTTTTACTTGCATGCACTAAATCACAGCCTATTGCTAAGATCAAAATCTCAATGAAGAACAACTATTTTAAGCTCTAATTGCAATCCAAAACCATGCATAGTTTCATATATATGGGCTGATTTAATACCAGATAATCTTACAGAATTTTAGAAATAATAATGTAATTTATAAATTTTACACTAATAATTATAATTAAAAGTAATTGCAATATTCTTCAGTTCATTGAAAGCTATAGGTCATGGGAAGCCAGCATTCAATTTTCTACTATAAGTGTCTGAGAGACTCTGTACAACAGACCTATAAGAACATCAGGATCTTAAACTAGAAATTACGTTGTGTTCAGTGTAGCTATACAGCACCTCATTTCAGAAATTCCCATTCTCCTCACATACAAACCGCATCACAGCGGGGAGAACTGTTTGTCACACTCACAATAAGTTTGCTAGTTGAGTGCTACTTGAACCTTTGAAATCTATACGGAAAAAAACTGATCTTCAAAGCCCCAGCCTTCAAATACACTGTTTGCAGCCACTTAGCTCTTGTGGAGCTTAAAGCAAGAGGGAATCAGGCATAAGGCAAAACAGAAAACACTGTGCTAAGAAAGATGCATAGCCAAAGTATTTATTTTTGTAATTTCTATATCTTACGTTTATGTCCTACCTATGTGCAGGTATCTTGCGATCCCCAGCAATCAGGATAACGTCACAAAGCTGTTGTTGTTTCAAATAGCTCTCCATCTTTCTGAAGGTTTGCTCTGCATGGTGAACAGCCTGGTAGAATTCCTCAGAGCTACATGAATCCATGTCACAGTGGGGTGGCAAGGGGTGGCTGGCTCCTGACAGTCTGTAAACCACAAGAGAAACTCCATGTTGATAAGATGGGACCAGGTGTCTATACTTCATCACAGGCTTCTAGAATCTGATACAAGTAATCAATGCATCCTTTCCCAGCTCTCATCACTAGAAGTACAAGAAAAAATCTTACAGTGCTGGGAAAAAAATGGAAAAAGCAATCCTATCTTTCCACTGATTCTGAGTGCCTCCTCTAGTTCACTTCAAATTCACATTAATTTTACACCACCTGGGAAAGAAAAATAAAACTCTAATAGGCTTAGTTTGTAATGGATTGCGATTATTTCCACAATAACTTACATATCTACTTTTTAACCAATAGGCTCATTAATACAAAGTGAATTTAGCCTACAAAGATAATGGTCTACAATACAAAAAAAAAAAAAAAAAAAAAAAAAAACCACCCAAAGAAGCAAAAAATCCAACCAAACAAAAAAGTACCAAACAAACAAAAAAAAAAAAAAACCAGGAGAAAAATATAAACATTCTTTTTCATTACATTGCCATCTATTCCTAGTTCAAAGTTACTCAGTTCAGTTTTTCAGTGGAAAACAGGGAAAAAACTCAAGAAGAACTAGCCCTTGAGGAAACTAATGCTAGAGTTTCCAAATAATTCACAACACAGATGATACTCTTTTCTTTTACAAATATGTAATGAGATGGTTTCAAATGAAAGTCATAAGAATATATAACTTGTAGTGCTGAAAATGAAGGATTTAACAGATGGAGCTATTTTTTTTTACTCCAGCTATATATATAAAAACAGTTTGCATAATCAATAGAGTCCAGCATATGAAATGGTATTATAAATTAATTCAAAGCAAGCTAATTTTTTATATAGTCTATTGAAAGATAAATATTAAGGAGCACGTAATTTATGCTGATTATTTACAATAATAATACAACAGTTTCATTATGTAAGGTTTGAAGCCAGTAGGTACTGTATTCTGAGAATGATATTGATAGACCTGTAAGAAAACACAGTCTAAACTCCTGGTGCTCGAATAAAATTTGAAGTGTGCATAAAGATAATAATTTTTTACAAATCAGTTAGTAAAATTAAAAACAATTATAAAAATATTTTAAAAAACCACCGACTTTTGACAGGTGAATGATTTACTTTTGAATTATATTTTGTCCTAAAGTCTCCTATGACAGTCTCCTACAGCCATTGTACAAGGCTCAACAGGTTTAAGAAGGAAAGACAGGTCCATCTTTCGGTCACAGTAATTGCTACGTGCTAGGCTTCACAGCATTCCTTTAAAGTAGCTGGAAGCCTGCAAAATTGAAGGTGGCATGTAGACAATTTCACAGGGAACCAACACAGTTACTTTTGATTCTCACTCCACCACCGTATCTGTGCTATATACAGGTACTAACTTAACAGAACGAGTAATCTTTTAAAATGATTACCCACAGTAGCTTCATTTTCATAACATTAAGTTGGATTCTGAAAAATCATCAGTTGATTTAAAATAATCAATACTGCTACTTTTATGCTGTAAAGGTTACAGTATGTGTGAGCCTGTCTATAAGAAACTCTACTGGCAAAATGTTATTAAACATGATTAAAGGTGGCCTAAAAGGGAGCCAGAGAGGGACTCTGTTAGGAACTGCAGTCATAGGAAAAGGGGTAATGGATTCAAACTGAAGGAGGGAAAGTCTAGGTTGGATGTGAGAAAGAAGTTTTTTATGATAAGGTTGGTGAGACACTGGCACAGGTTGCCCAAGGACGGGGTGGCTGCCCCGACCTTGGCGGTGTTCAAGACCAGACTGGATGAGGCCTTGAGCAACCTGATCTAGGTTGTAATTCCTGGTAGAATTCCTCCTCTCCTCTAGGGAGGAGGTGTCCCTGCCCATGGCAGGAGGGGTTGGGACTAGATGATCTGTAAGGTCCTTTCCAACCCCTAGATTCTATGATGATTCCATAACAGAAACAGTTAAGAATTGATGGTTTAGAAAGGTACATTTGCTTAACTCTGATATAGCTAATCTTGTTATATTGTCAAGTACTTCATGCTAGATATCTCCTCCTAATGGATAAAAGAAACATTCATTCTATAAGCGACATAATCTGCTTATGTGTTCCTGTCTAATTCGGGCTGCCAACCATGTTGATCAGAAATCCAAGTTTATTTTCGTATCTTTGGATGATCAACAAATGCTTTCACATAAAACTCTAATGATGAAGCTAAGCTCATTAGAATGGATAGTAGGTAGATATTTCAACATTTTTTATTTCTTTTCACTTCATTTTGATTGTAGCCCTATGTAGACTTCCCAAGTTTTATTGCTGAAGAATTAGAATGACAAGTAATTTTCAAGAAATAAATCACTGCCTAATAAATTAGGTTTTTAGGGTTAAATAAACATTTATTTTTCTCCTCTGGGGAACTTAGAAGTGAAAAAACCAGCAATTTTGAGAAAGGAAAATAACAGGAATGAGCAGATCTTAATGGGTTCATATTGTTGTTAATTAAGAAAGTAGGTCTAAACCAGCTTACATTTGAACAGATAGGCTATTAGTCCTGAGCTTGAGCTATTCAAAATGCTGTCTTTTTCAGGTCAGGAAAAGAGAAGTACCCTGACTGAAATTATGCTAGTTCTATGAAATGAGATTGGACTGCAATTAACTTAGTCTGTTTTGTTCTTGAACTGTTAGGAAGTGTTTGCCATAAATTTTGCCCTCTTTCCTGCTTGCCATTTATCAACAACACTTTCTACCCTCTAACTCATCAGTATATCTGTCACTTTGCAAGTCAGTAAATGACTACTCAAAAGCAAGCCCCAAAGGCCCAACACATTTTAAATTATTGTCCTGAAAACTAGCAAGCAATAACCTTACTATAATTCCATAAGTTAATCTTTCATTTATTTTCTAAGAAAACCCAGATAAAAAGCCTGCTACTTAGTCTATGCAAGAGCTACCTCTGTTTCATTACAAATGCACTGTCTACATAATCAGTACTTTAAATTCAGATAGAAGCTTGTTAAAGTAGGAATTGGTTAAAGTAAACACAAATATTTTCTACCAGTTTGTGAAAGGCATGTGTAAGCACTTAATGCCAATTAGCAATATGAAAATCACACTGTCTCTTTGCATAGATTGCTTTTGTTTATGTGCAGGCAAACTAAACCACACATTCAGGGAGATGCTTGTTGATTACATTCTGCAGGAACTCCAAGAAAAATTTGCCTGAAAAAGTCTTTCAAAACCACTTTTAGTATTTGTTTGCCTCAAAATCCTGTAATCGGTGAACTGGACAGACTATAGATGGGCTTTTTTCCATAACTATTCTCAGTTGGCAAGTGCAAAGCCTGAACTTAGCCTGGGAATTTCAAACATATGGGTGTTATTCAGACTAGAACAGTTTATCTTTAAATGACTTTGTTAATAGTACAGAAAGAAACCAAACCCTTCACAAGTTTGCAAAGGGTAATACCGCAGCATGAGAAAATTAAAGGCTCACAAAAATTATAAACACCGCAAATAACCAATAATCTCAAATGTTTCTTTATGAAATGGCAAACCAGAGTGCATATCACATAATAAAAAAAGAAAAAGGAAAAACTTCACTGTAGCAAGTTTGTACAGACTAATTTTCATAGTTAAGAACAGCATTCTGCCCTCAAGAGAAATCTTTTTAAGAAAAGCCTGTTGATGAGAAAATCCAGTCTCTGAGTCCTTACAGACCTTAGATGCCAGAGATATATTTTTATTTCTATTTACACTATTTTGACTCCACAGTGCTCCTCTTTCACTATAAAAAGCACATTGATTTGAACAAGAAGAGAGAAATGAACACCTTTAGTTTACTGTAATGCTGTCAGAGAATTAACAAGAAAATGCCAGGAAAAAAGGGACCTTAAATACAGATTTAGCTACCTGTATCTTCTTAAGTGTTTAGCAAAATAGTCACTCTTAAGCTGCATAAATTTGAAAACACCAATAGCAAACATCAGTAGTTAAACCATATACTGAATAAATTTAAAAAAAGACATACTTTGAAATAGAGAATTCATATGACTTGAAACTATACCACATTTCACTGAGTAAACAGAGGCATAGATTTAGAAATGTTTCTATTCTGGAAATTATATTCATAGAGGTGCAGAAAACAACAGATTCATATCAGTGTACATTGCAGAGTATTTTATAAAGTACTCAGGTATTTAAAATACTCAATTGGAAGACATTTATCCTGCAGTCCGCTGAAAGTTCTGGCCCCAAATAAAGAATTCTTTAATCAGAAAATATCATGCCATTTCATTGTTACTGGAATATCAAATCCTCCTGTAATTTTTTTCAGTTTTCACTTATGCAGAACTGATCAAACAAACTTTTTCAAAACCTGTTCCAATGTAATTTAGGGCATATTACTTGATATATATACAAAGGACATCGTCAAGAAAAAAATAGCCATTTCTTCAGCAAAAAAAATGTTGCCTATTTATAACTAGCCAAAAACATATATATTCCATATGCAAGAGCTTAAAAAGTCTTGACACAATTTGTTCTCTAAAAATTGCTTATTGAATGCTCAAAAATCAATAACCCGTGGAATTGCAATTACCAAACTAAGATAGACTGTCAAAAGTCATGGCTGTCATTAGTGATCACTTGCAAAAATGCAAGAGAAAGTTTATAGACTTTAAGCGATTTTCTAACAGCAACAGCAAGGCTAAAGTTCTGTTTGTGAACAAAAGCTATGCTTTTCACTCTGCTACCAGCAATCGCATCTGCAAGCACAGGCTCTGCACAGAGTTTCAACAGGAAGAAGTGTCAGAAATAAAAATAATCAGAATATCAAATAAGATTAGAAAAGAAAAAAAATAGAGTCCAGTGCACATTATAAACTTGTTGTTCTTGTTCTACAGATAAGTCTGCATGATGTACACTTTACAATGGTGTCTCCTCCTAAAGGTAATTTGTGTATCAAAATACTTGTTACATAACTCATGCTTTTGACACCATAAGGCAAAATTTGGTC